GCTCCTATTGATCGTAGCGTGATGAAAAGTATATTATAACCTGCCCAGGAGTATGAAGAAAATTTCTTTAAAATCCGTCGAGTAGTTTTTGTTTCTATAACGAACATACAGACAGACAGACAAAAATTTTACTGATTGCATTTTTGGCATCAGTATCGATCACTAATCACCCCCTGATAGTTATTTTGCAAATATATTTCATGTAGAATTGACCTCTCTACAGATTTATTATAAGTATATAAGATTTATTTATGGGTATTATAAATTCTCATTTGCGTTGCATTTTTTTTCTTGTTTGTTGTCTCATGACTTCTTTAGCTCCAAATCGGTTTGGAAAATTCTTCTTTTTATCTGAAAGGATGTACTTAAAATTCAGTCTCATAAAAATTTTACTAAAATCGGTTCAGTAATTTAATTTCTAAATCAAAATAACTTGTTTTGTCACAATTGAAGTCGGTTTTTTTGGGACACAATATTTACATTTACAAAGTGGGGACATTTCTCAGGCGTATGTAAATATGCCATCATAATCTTGCTTTTATCCCTTTACTTGGGGCTGGCTTGGTATACAGTTGTACCCTTCCACTCATCCACATCAGCCGTCATACCTGAGCTCACTTTTCTTTTTCGTATATCATCTTTCACATAGTTCATCCACTTTTTTTCCAACATAATGTACCTACACGTGTGTATACACACACACATATATACATATATATATATATATATATATATATATATATATATATATATATATATATATATATATATATATATATATATATATATATATATATATATATATATATATATATATATGCACCGAGTTGCCAGATGCAATTCTTAATTTTTACCTGAACGTGAAATATTTTTCCCCCAAATTAATACGATTTCTAAGACTTACTCAATCTCAAAATTGTATTGTTTATAGGCATAGTGCGGAAATGAGAGTTCAATTTACATTGATTTTTTTATTTTTCTCAATGGATTTCTGTCTATATTCGTTCTCATGTCCCTGCTATGACAAATGATAATCAATTACGAAACTTTACTTACAAATTTAAATACATTTAAACATTTTTGTTTATGGTTGATAAAAGAAGGTTAACCCAATCTACAATGGTTTACAATGGCAGTTTACCAATATAGAATGATACGTGAGGATAAAGTCAGGTCACACGGACGCAGGATGACCGGGGGGGGGGAGGGTTGTTGGTAATGCGAACTACCAGTCACATTGTTAACAATATACCCTATCAGGTCGACCTACACGTGGTACCCCCTGGAAAGCATGTGAGTCGAATTCCAGGTGTATTCATTACGATGGGCTAACTGACCCGCCTTTTCATTCTCACCTATCGTCTCTCACTGGTGCTTCGTCATCGTATACCGATAGTGCAGGCGAGGTTACCATTCCATTGCTATCCATTAAAAAAAAGGAGGTCCGCGTGACGTCACGTCGTAGACCGTTAATTCAAACAAACAAGCAATCCCTTCCACCCGTTAATTTTTCAACATATGCAAATATAATGCATAGCAAATTTCAAATACAACACTGGAATATAAACTTAATTGTGATCCAAGTAAGTTCTTTTTAGTTTATTTGGGATGAATGCGACACGGAAGGTACCAGATGTTGCGACGTGTACTTATTTAAAACCCACGTCTATGCCTATTCGGTTGAAACGGTTCTCGTGTGAATAAATTTCTCGTGCAGTGTTGCCAGATTGGGAACTTTTTCGTAATTTTGTTTTAAAAATATTCTGATCGCGGAGTTTTGAAAAAAATTGATTTTCTTTTTTATAGGTTTGGTATTTTTTTTAATGGAATGGTAACCCCGCCTGCGCTAACGGTATACGCTGGCGGGGCACCAGTGAGGGATCGTACGTGAGAATGAAAAGGCAGGTCAGTTAGTCCATTGTGATGAATTAGAGTTCAGCACGAAGGTTTCCAGGTTGTATTAATGGAACTGATAATCCACATTACTAACAATCCCTTCCCCCCAGTTTTAGTATTTGTAAAGTATATAGAGGTATTTAAATGCAATAAAATATATTAATAACGGTAGCAATACAGATGATGGGATAAGAAAAAGTGAAGGTAAGATAAGGTAAAAATGAAATGAAGTTTTTCTTGTCGTTAATTTAATATGATATAGTAAACGTAGTGAAAACCAATACATGTTTGAGATTGAGTAAAAGTCTCAGAAATCGTATCAATTTGGGGAAAAAATATTTCACGTTCGGGTAAAAATCAAGAATCGTATCTGGCAATTCTGTGTGTGGCCTTATTCAATATCGTAATAACTTCCTGTGAGTTGCAGACGAAATGTGTTTTTGAATGAGCGAATAGGAGATTCGATCACATTTACGATGGGACTCGAGTGTCTCACGTTTTAGAGGGTAATAATGGGGAAAATGACACATTCTTACTCATATTACAAATGTGAAAGTGAAGAAATTTAGTATACACGTATTATATGGTATGAAAAAGGGCAGAGGGTGCTTTTTGTCCTGGCAAGTTTTTTGTATACCACAAAGGCACAGATCGTCTGTTGGTAAACTTTAGATTTCTCTAGGGCAGTTAACGACCAGGAATTTCGTTAGTTAAATTTTGAACCCTGGTTTGGGGTTAAATTTTTCAAAAGTCTCTTCTTACTTTCATTAAGTTCACCTTTACCACCTTTTGCCAGAGGAAGATTTTGTACAAAAGTCGTTTGCCTCTGTCCCATTCGTGTTTCTACTATGAAACAGTTGTGATTGCATGGCTGTTTCGGTTTGAAGGGTGGGATATGGCAGTGAATCTACAGGGTACAGAGGAATAACACCTTAGTCCTCAGGAATGGCAACTTATGGGCGGTATCATGGACAAAACAGTATACTCTGTTATATCCATGATACTGCTCATGTCTATAGGCGATTGTTACCACTTTCCATCAGATGAGCCGTCAGCTTGTTTGCCATTCTAAGTAGCATAAAAAAACCTAAACTATATAAGGAACTTATCTGCAAAATTTCAAGATTCTAGATTCAATGGCTTCGACTGTGTGTTGATATATGGGTCGGTCAGTCAATCAGTATCCTTTATATTTATAAAGGGATTGTTAATAATGCGGACTCTCAGTCCCATTGTTAGCAAATTGCCCCATAAGGTCAACCTCCACGTGGTCTCCCCTGGAAGCCATCGTGCTGAATTCCTTGTATATTCATCACGATGGACTAACTGACCTGCCTTTACATTCTCACCTATCACCCTTTACTGGTGCCTCGTCAGTATATACCGTCAGCGCAGGTGGGGTAACCATTTCATTATCATTAATCACAAAAAAAAATCAGCATCCTTTTTATATATACTCGTACATATTACAGTGAAATGGAAGAAATCGTGGGTAAAAACTAATAACAGTACAAATTCCAAATTCCATGAAGTACATACAATCACTGACACCAAAAGAATATATTTCTTTTTTTATAACAAAAGTAATAGCAGACAATCACCGAGCTCAATCTAGAATTCCTTGTGCAACGGGCAAAATAAATTTTAACGTTCCTTTTCGGGCGAAACGGATAAAGGAGTCTACGGGGATTGAATTTACGTAAACATATTGTGTTCAATTATCTATACTTTTATATATATACAAAGCTTTTAGACTCCTATGTGATATAGATCAATAAACTATTTATATATTTGCCGTGTGGTCCCGGCATAGAACGGACCACCCCTTCCTTTCCCGTGCGTGTCGTAAGAGACGAATAAGGGAACTTAATGATCGAGGGATAGGCAGTAGCGTTTTTTTTTTCATAACAAGAAATGTACAGATTTAGTGGAAATTTGTTGAATAATACCTTAAAAGAAATAACACCTGAGTCCTCAAGAATGGCAACGCATGGGGGGTATTATGGGCGAAACAAGCTGACGGCCCACCTGATAGAAAGTGGTAACTGTCGCCTATAGACATGAGCAGTACTATGGACATAATAGAGTATACTGTTTCGCTTATGCGTTGCCGTTCCTGAGGACTTAGGTGTTACTCCTCTGTACCCTGTAAATTAACTGCCATATTCCACCCTTCATACCGAAACACAGCCATGCAAACAACTGCTTCGCGGTAGAAACACGAATGGGACAAAGGTACCCAAGCAACCTTAAAAGTATACTAAAGATTTTAATTTCACCCTGCATAATAGCAGAGAACTCTTTTCATGTTCCACGTAAACAATGAATTGAAAAAAACGGAAGCTAATTTTGTTTATACTATACGATTCTTTTTTTATTCCCCCGGCGTTTCTTTGTGTAAGAATAAAGTGATTTCAATAATAACACACCTCACTTAAGGGAATACGCAATGAACTCTCGAGGAATAAATATCTATTTTTTTATATATGTATTTATTTAGCCCTGTGGTTAATATACGCGATATTTAAATTCTATTTATCAAATTTTTATTCTATTTATTGCAAACGTAATTATGAAATTCGATTAGTAAAATAATCAATTTTTTTAGTAATTGATCAAAAATATTTATTCAAAAGGCTCCTGTTAAAGAACCATAGTGAAACTATGTTAGTTTTATGACACATATCGATGTTATTATATATATATATATATATATATATATATATATATATATATATAATAAAGTTCAAGACGACGTATAAATCTTACTTCTTTTTTAAATCTTTTACTCATATAACATAGGAGATATTAAAAAAATATATAATATATAGATAAGAGACCTTAATAATATAAGAGATAATATCTGTCGGTCTGTTCGTCTATATGTTTGTTTCGGCGTCACGTAAAAACTGCTGCACCAAATTGAATGTGGTTTTCACAGACATAGTTTAACTTAAAATCTGGTATATGCTCTATTTTTATACGTCATCGGGAAGTGATTACGTATTTCTAAATTTTATGCATACGAATTTGTGGGCATAAGCTATATCATGTTAGTTAATAGAAAAAATATATTTTTTTAATGTTATCCTTTTCTTCCTCAGGTGATATCAGCTATATCTGTCTTCTTCATCTGCGTGTCGGTGCTGTCATTCTGTCTCAAGACCCATCCAGATCTTCGAGTAAATCTGCCAACTCCGGCGCCATTTATTGTGGAGAATACCACAGTTTTGCATAATGCCACAATTTCGCACAATACCACCGCAATCGTGGAGACAAGATGGAGGGACAATGGGGAGCCTCATGTATTCTTCTTTTATATTGAGCTCGTTTGCAACGTGTGGTTCACCATTGAGCTTCTAGTGAGATCTGTGGTAAGTATTTAAATTATTAACTTATATCTTCCTGTCTGTATTGAGTAAAAATACTAGTAGGATTTGAAACCGCCCTAGATGGGCATGTGTTGACCAAATAAGCAAAAAATAAATGAAAATTAAATGGAACATCGGCAATAAAAAACAAGTATGTAGATACAATTTACTTATAAACGAGTCGCGTTAAATAATCATTGTGAATTTATATGTATAAAAAATGCAAAAATTTAAAATTATGTTGCTTATATATTAATATAAGCAAACTGCTGAAATAGGGCCAATTTGCCAACTTTTATGTCATTTATTTTGGGGTATACCACAATCTTGGACAATACCACAATTTTGCATAATACCACATACACACACACATACTGTACACACATTTTATTTTGTTTTGTATAGTCGTTTTCACAAATTTAATTTTAGCCTTACTCAATGCAAGCTGTACATCGTGTCCGAGTTGGGGATTTGAATTCCTGAGATACAGATCTGTAATCTAGTTTAGGATCCAGTCTCCCACAAGTTTTATAGAGCATTGCATTTATGCATTTATACATATATAGTTGTACTTCTTTCATGTGGCTGTCTTTTTCTGTAAAATTTTTGGAGTAAATAAATAAATCGATTATTATTATTATTACCTAACTTTAATCGAGACAAGACTAATCAATTGCAAAATAATCAAAATTCGTCATGAATCAGCAATGACAACATCCTCACTTTTAAAACAGGTTTAAAATTACTGAATAATAATAATAATTTAAGCTGATACAACATTTTACTTCAGTATGTTGATTAAAAATTACATATATTAGTTAAAATTGGTCAACTTGTCCTATCAAATATTTTAGAATAGGACCGTTCGTTTTACAAACAATAATAACTATTGCCACTCATTTGAAATCACAATAAGTTATGAAACCAAAGTCCCGTTATCAAACCACTGCACTCTCGAATATTGAATGCCGATCCCTCTACGGATTCAATTCCTATTACGTATTGTGTCGTACGTAGTCGAGAACTCGATTGTGTAACAATAGGAAACTGTACTGAGAATCGTAAACCACCGGACGTGAGCTATCGTGTCGCTTTCCAAGTTGACGCATCACTTGACAAACTTGGCGAACTTGGCAAGCGAGCGTTTATTGTACAACTTCATTGCGTTCATATCCTCACATATTCAAAGGTTTATGTCACATATTCGAGTTATATTTTTCGCGATCGTTGAATATTATCAAGTCTTATTTATGTTTATTATATGATAGACATCTTTTTTTTTATGGATAAAAATGGAATGTTAACCCCTCTTGCGCTGTCGGTATACGCTGGCGGTTCACCAACGGGAAAGGAAGGGGTGGTCTATTCTTTGTCGAGACCACACGGCAAATTATTTGCTTTCCTTACATATAATCTATATATTTTTAATTATACTTTACGCAAAAATAGAAAACTATCACAACTTCTTGTTTTGTGTTTAATATAAATTTCTAAATTGATCTGATAGCAGTAATTTGTGATTTTGTTCCATAATAAAACTGATTTATTACTCTAAATATAAAAATATCCTGCATCTAATAGTAATCGACGTAGAGTTTTTCGTAATAATAGGAAACTGAACTGAGAATTTGAGAATCGTAAAGACCAAATTGTCGCGCCATTGTTATAACACTTATCAAAATTGGCGAACTTGGCAAGCGAACGTTTATTGTACAACTTATTTACTTTTATTCCATCAATTATATTTAGAAATCTTAAATTATAGATATTTTAATTGTTTTTTTTTATGCCACTTAGAATGGCAAACAAGCTGACCGCTCACCTGATGAAAAGTGGTAACCGTCGCCTATAAACATGAGCAGCACCATGAACATAACAGAGTATACTGTTTCGTCCATGATACCTCTCATGGGTTGCCATTCCTGAGAACTCAGGTGTTATTCCTATATACCCAGTAAATACACATTATTAATAGGAAACTGAACTGAGAGTTTGAGAATCGTAAAAACCAAAATGACGCGCCATTGTTATAACACTTATCAAAATTGGCGAACTTGGCAAGCGAACGTTTATTGTACAACTTATTTACTTTTATTCCTTTACGTATACGTACATATTCCAAGGTTATAGGTAATAAATATTCGAGTTATATTTATCATGAATATAAAAAAAACCAACTAATTAAATTTTGTAAAGTATAGATATATAGATACTCTTTATTGTTAACTCTAAAATATTACAATAGTAAATTTATTATAGATACAAACAATTAATTAAAGTAATTATAATAAGTGACACACAATTACAGCAATTGTCTGGATTTTAAGGTAGAATATCCTATATTTTGTAATTTTAGGTAAACAAAACGTTTCATAATATAATTCTGCCTCTAAATCTCAAAAAATGTAGTGTGTTCCGTAATAAATGTATGAGTGAGTCTAAGAGTACGTTTTCGCTAGAAATAACTAAACTTGATTTGACTTGAATAATTTATTTTTCTCTTCACAAAAGGTAGTAAAAGATAATAGCTAGCGGTACAATTAAACATGTTAGACCAGTTTTACAAGGGACTGGTGCCTGCAGTAGGTTTTGAAGTGACCTGTGTTACAAGTCCCCATTTCTATGGACTATAAAAATTTAAGGTCAGCAATTAATGTTACAATAGACACATAATAATGAAGAAATATAAATTGCGGGAATAAACTTTACATTAAAATTTATTAGAATTATAATTAAAGTCAAATTATTTGCAAACTACAGACTGTATATGTTTCTATGTAAGTGTATGTGTGTGGGTGTGTGTGAAAGAGATTAAGAGAGATTATAGATCGAGTGTATATATATATATATATTCTTTATTGCACTAAAACATACAGTAACAACAATAAGTTATGTATGTATACATATAAGTTATATACATATAAGTCATGTACATATATAAGTTATACATGTATATTCATATACAGTACATGAGTAACTGATTTGAACAGTCAATTGAGTGGGTATGCTAAGAAACAGAAAGGTATAAAAATGTATATAAATAAATGTACAGATTTTTTGTAATAATTGGATTGACAATAGTTTATAACAATAATACATAATTCATACATCATAAATATACTTGATCATTTAAGAACACACTGTAGAGTAAAACATGCCCATTTTAATTAATTTCAAGGACAAATCCTAATACATTAATTCTTTGATCTTGCACAAACGATAATTTACAATGCCCTAGTTAGCCCTAAAAGCCAGTCTGATCTTCAGACGGAAAAAGTACCATTATGTACACAATAAATTTACGTAAACACACGTTGTGTTCAACACAATACAGGCAGTGAAATACAGAGTGTAAGTGACAAGTATAGTATCCGCAAACGAGCACTCCAACACAAACACAAACATTACAAACACATAAATGTGTTTTGTGAATGACACGTCGAGTGCAGTGCAGTGAAATAAATGTGGTAAAATACGGGTGTATTTTGTGAATTTAATAAATTTAAATCAAATAAATATATTCTTTAAAAAAAAAAGTGGAGACATTGAATAGAATGAATGATTATTCTATATTTGCATTATACAATTAAGAAAATAAAGCAAGAAAGACAACTAGGTAATAAATGGAACAATTATCCTCATCATCATATCAACCGTTAACAGTCCACTGCTGGACTTCCCCATAAGGAGGGCTTTGCCAGTAGTTGCCACGCTTGGCAGACGAGTTGGTAACCGTAGATTTTTATGGGTGAAAATAGAATGGTAACGCCTGCGCTAACGGGATACGCTGGCAGAGCAGCAGTGAAGGTTAATAGATGAGAATGAAAACAGGCCAATAAGCCTAAGAATTAACCAAGATAGTTTTCAGGGGGAACCGCGAGGAGATCGACCTGGTTGAATATATTGCTAGCAATATGATTCTCAGTCTCCATCACTAACAATCCCTTTCCCCCCTGGCAACCGTAGTTAGGTTTTGGTTGATATTTTAAGAGGTGCTGCTGCCCATTACTCGATTAATTTCCCTTAGTCGCCTATCGATCTATCTGTAAATATATCCTATTAGATAAAATTGAATTTTCCAAATCGGTTTACAGCTGACGGAGTTATGAGGTAACAAACATAAAAATACGTCAGAATTGAGAACGTCTCTCTTTCTGAAGTCGGTCGAAAAGCATTTTATCGTGAATGCATCGATAAAGGATGACATCCTTTGTAGATCCTGTCATCCGTAACTGATACGCTTTAAATATTGTATTTACTTACATACAAGAATAGCTGTTTCTTGAAAAAATATATTATTTAAGCATTCAAGTATTAGAAATATTAAATCATAGATATTTTTAACTGTTTTTTTATGCAACTTAGAATGGCAGGGGGGAAAAGGGATTGTTAGCAATGGAATTTGACACTCCTATTGCAACAATATGCCCTATTAGGTCGACCTCCACGTGGTTCCCCCTGGAAACCATCGTGTACAATTCTTGTTGAATTCGTCACGATGGGCTAACTGACCTGCTTCATCCTCACCTATCATCCTTCACTGGTGCCCCGCTGGTGTATACCGATAGCGCGAGTGGATTTACCATTCCATTATCACTCATTAAAAACAAAACTGCTTCAATTGAAGGGATTGTTAGTAATGGAGACTAAGAATCCCATTGCTAGCAATATACCCAACCAGGTCGACATCCTCGCGGTTCCCCCTGGAAACTATCATGGTTAATTCCTGATGAATTCATCATGATGGGCTAACTGGCCTGTTTTCATTCTCATCTATCACCCTTCACTGGTGCTCCGCCAGCGTATCCCGTTAGCGCAGGCGGGGTTACCATTCCATTTTCACCCATAAAAAAAAAACTGCTTCACTGTGAAGACTCGAATGGGACAGAGGTGCCCAAGCAAACCAATTTTAGTACAAAGTCTCACTCTGGTATTTATCAACTTGTCAGAGAGTGTAAAAAATTTAGAAATCTTTTATACTTTATTTCAAACGTGAAACAGTA